AGACGTCGCAATGCGGATTGAGCTATTGTATGACGGTGGTTCACTCTATTGAGCGACCGCCACTTCAAGAACCCCCCGCCCCTCTCCTCGTCCACAAAGTCCACCCATGTTTTTGAATTGCCGCCTCTTTGTAAATGACGAACATTCAGCATGGCTTATGTCCTGCACCGCGCGAGGGCTAAACGAACCGCGGCGAAAAGGCACAAAGTTCCGGGCCCTTGCCACTGATGACAGCGCAGTTCTACATCAATTTTAGTATGTATGTACTCCGTACTGTCCATTACTTCGGGGCAAAGCCCCCACCCACACCACTTCTCCGTATTTGAGTGTATTCTTGAACGGGGCTGAGGAGGGGGGAGGGGGGGGAAGGGCGGTTGGTTGATTGGTTTATGCTTTTGTTTCGGCTACCAAACGTGTGCACACATATAAGACTTCAAAACTCGAGAACAGGAAGGAAAAATTTGCTCGGATTATAAATTACAGATCCATGTAGCGGACAAAACTCGGGAGAGTTGTCCACGACGTACGCCGTACGCAGGGTTCTCGTAGTCAGGATTCTACTTTGAGCTACAGCAACTACTAGATGAGAAGACCGGCTTTCCCGATGAGCATTCTGGAAGGAATCATAGGTCTATACTAAAAAAAAGCTACGCGGCATCAGCAAAAAGGGTAATTTGAACAAGTTGGAAGAACTTCACTAACAAAAATAAATCCAGGCTAACCTTCCTGGTGAACGACATTCTGTGTTTACTGCGGTAGTTAGTCCATGAATACTCGTTCAGATATTGTATGTAACCCTGCTTTCTAGCTAAAAGAGGAGGAAGAAGCGAGCGATGGTTCATGCTCAATACAAATACGGAAAACACGGAAGATGCTGGACGCAGGCCATACTACAACATTTTACCGCTAGTCAAGGGATACGACAATAATTGATCATCCCGCGAGACCTAACCGACCGCCTCCACTCCCAAGTACTCCGTATATGGCGATGGGAGGGAGAAAGTTCATCTTTTGGGCGTTCTGAGTAGACGAATGAAAACGAGACGATTTTTAAGCTCGAACATCCAACCAAGAACTAATCTGGATAGTTATCATCTAACTTTTTACTGGACGATCTAGCGAACTTGTGTCAGCCCCCTCTGTTGGCCCTTTAGGTATATGGTATGCAGGTGATGTGAGCTGATTGACTCTCCTTCGTAGAAATATAAACATCGCCACCATGCACATGAATGACGATCGTTCTCAGGGGTAATAAGCCGCATCTTTTTGATCAGGGATGCCATGCATTGGGCTGAGAATGTCTTCCTGCTGTGCATGCAACCTTCCAGCTGGGACTTCATATATGCAGGATGAGACACCCATCTAAAATGCCAAAGGTTCGCGGGAAAACCACTGAAGTTTTGAGTCCAACAGGTGCTAGAGAAAGATGAAGAACGAGACGCAGCCCAACAGCAACCTGCGGTGGAACCACATACCATGTAGAGAGAGGAACCAGGGACCCCTGGCATAGCCCGGCATCACAAGCATCTTGTGGTAGGGATCTGTATCCGGAAAGCTGCAAATTCCAACAGGGCGGCCTGGTCGTTTAAACGTAGCTTGTCCTTTCCGCTGTGTACGATTTAGTTGGCTGAGGGCTCCGAGTTTTCGACAATAGTGACAACTTACAAGCGCTGATATGTCTGACAGCAGATCCCCCACGCTGTCGTTGGTCGGTGATCACGGGAGGATTGTCGTCGTCGCTCATCAGTGCGGAGTCCGAGTCTCCCCAATGTTCCCCCATAATGCTCCAAAACACCCGAAATGTGGGACAAAAGATGAGGGGGAGTCTTTTGCTCCCACGACAAAGTCTCCGCGGACAAAGGACACCGCCCATTTTTCTAGCCATTAATTCTCGGCTGAAGAACCGCTTTTTTGCATTTTTGTACGCAATAGATATGTTATGGCGCAATTTCGGGGTTGCGAAATCACCTTACCTCGATAACTAGCGAATAACTGAGAGGGCTAACTACGAACTAACCAGTGGAATTGGAGAGTTGTTGCGGGGGTGACTGAACGGATGATACCCCCGCATATCGATTAAAGAATCGGAAAAAATGGAGGAAGCAGGCTGTATTCAGCCATGGAGGTTGAATTGTGGGATATTGTGGAATATCTGTCGTGGGTCAGAGAATGATTCCAGGGCTTTGCATGGCACTACCAAGGGAGTTAGTTGGGTGAAAACATGGGTGGAAGCATGGAACGAGCATAGAACGAGAGCATTCGGTAAACGTAACCGTTAACCGACCCTAGCCTGGGCGCCAAGATTTAGGCACCAAGCCCAAAGACCAACCCTAAATCTTTCGGGGTAGATGGCGGTCTGATACCCGAGTCGTTGCAACATAAAATGCCATACCGGGCAGATCTCAGAGATGTTTTTTAGAGGACTGAAGTTTTTCATCTCTTGGCCGACTGACATAACGGCTCTGAGAATGTATCATCATGAGATACTACTTCATTTCCAAAGATGAATTCGCCATTATCGTCGCATGTTCAAGCTACGAAAGAGATGAGGTTTGAACAAAAACAACATTTTCAAGAATCCCTCACAGGGATTCAGGGTTTTCTGGATTTTTTTTTTTTTTTTTTTTTCTCACTCTCTCTCTCTCTCTCTCTTGCTTCATCTGGAACACGAAGAAACGGTTTTTACTGCTCCGGACAAGGACGACCCATATCTTCCAAGATATGTACAGATTACAGAATACAGATCTTCAATTTCTTACTCATTCTATTTCTTCGCCCATAGTTACTATAAACGCCACTGACGTGCCCCGTTTCAACCTCACCTCCCGGATAATGGCCCTCATCAAGGTTATTCTCAAAGGTTTTCCAGAAACAGCACTCCTAAAATTGATGCTGATTAGTATGCATTTGGCACCAACGCGTACGGTCAAATGGTGCAGATAGCAAAGTTCAGTGATTTTGAAAAACTGGACAGTGGTTCAACACTGGTGCCTTGGCTAGGCTGGGTACGGAGTACATGGGAACGCCCCTTGGTCATTGGGCACCACATATTATTGCGAGAGTGCATTGATAATCACGCAATCAAATTCCTTTATATATTTATGGAGATACCTCTATGAGTGTAAGTTGAAGACCGCGGGATATTGGAAGAACAACAAAGTTCCCTCATCACCACTGTGTCACAGCAGCCATATCTAAAGGGGCCAAGAGCCCACAGAGGCTTACCACTCCTTGACAAGCCTTTCACCTGTTGCAATGAAAAGGGGCAGATCAATCAACCCAGCCAAGTTCCTTGATACAGATGGTTTCCACTGCGTTGCTTAGAAAATCGACAACCACAGCATCTGCAATGGGGAAGTTTGTGTGAAAACCGCATTCCATCATATCATCCTGACGCCCCTCTATCCACAGAGGGTAGGGGGATACAGCATGATCAAAATTGACAACCGGGCTACAGTATTGACCATGATGACAGCGTTATCCCACTGACAGCGAAGCCCAGTCTGCTCTGTTCAGAAGACGGTGTATGGATGCGGCACAGCTGGAAGTTAAAAGGGGAGCCTGACCAGGACGTGTCATCATTATGTATGTATATATATATCCGCAAAAGAACAATGCCGTTTAGACAAGAGGTCACTTGTCAATGAATGATCCTGGCTGCGAAGGTTTCTTGTTTCATTTTCTCATGTATAGTACTATGTGCCGTCCATTTTGATGGGAGATATATGTGTTGTTTTTATCAACTTGAATGTACTCAACATTTACACAATGCCGTGTACTGGTCAGGCCATCTGTCATTATGCCTTAGCAGGAGGCGCCGGTGGTAACTTGAGATCTTCTGTGTAAAACTGGACTTTCACCACTAAGTTAGCAAGAGAATTCCCCAATTAACATAGTCTTCTTAAGTTCATAATTTTATTTCATGCCTTGAAGTCGAACATTTGCCCCTGCCTCACACATGGAACTGCGCCAAGGTTGACCCAACAATGAATGCTCCACGTGACCCAGAGCCGCATCGATGGTTTTCCTCCATCGCCAAGTTGCAACTCGACCTCGCCGTCACCAACATCACCAACTCTGCTCGCGAGTTTGCAGCAACAATTGCTCAACCATCCCCTTCTCAGATTCTGTGTCTTTTTTGGACACCTCGGGGATTAATCCCTCTAGGCTTCTTGTAGGTTGCCGAACCTCTTACCTCTTTTCCCTCGTTCTTCCCCTGCGCGCTTGTGCTGCCTCTGCCCGTTTATCTGGCATCAGTCGTCCTCCGTAGTCTTGTGCTTGGTCTCGTCCTCCCGTTTATCTCTTCTCTCTCCTTGTCCTCTCTCCCCGCGCTCTCCCAAAACTTCGTCGCCCATATTGCTCGGTCCATTTTCTTCTCATTATCCATACTTGCCCCTCCACTCTTGTCTCTCTTCCAGCTCCCACTGCTTCCCCTCAAGGCGAATTCACGTCTCGTACTCTCAAGGAATCCTCTCATTCATCTTATTTCCTCTTCATCCTTATTTGATCGCTATCAGTGAGCGATGCAATTCTCTCATCACTTTTTGGAACTCCCTTGTTTCTTCAATCACTTTTCATTTTTACTTCTACATTCCTCGCCCATCGCCCCTCGCCCCTGGCCCCTCCGCTTCCTTCAGCTACATACTTTGAAGTAACATCACTCTAACCCTCAAGATGTCGACTCACAGCTCCAGCCATCCCCATTTCACTCTCCAGATTTATGAGTTTTGTCCCCAGACGACATATAACATAGCTAGGCGCAGTGTTTATGCGCCATCATTGGCCCGAAAAAGCGATAAGATTCCATAATCCTTAATATCGGCGTGAACTTAGCCGCTTATTTACGAAGCCAGTTTCTCATGAGAACGGTTGCGTGGAGTTTTTGTTCTCTGCTTTCGTGAATGGAGTCATACGATCCCTTCGGTTCCCCCAGTGCCGACTCGGCTAAGGCTGATACGAGGTGGGGCCGCGAGGAGGATACTTTTGCTTCCAGGGCAGTCATGGATTCATATCGGCGAAGGTCTCCCTGTACGTCTATATTTTCATGGTTTTAACGGACTTATACTTCCTACGCTATACCGTCCCGCCCATTTTTACTCCATATTGACACCTTCTAGCTTCCCAGGGCCGTCGTCGCTCGTCTATACGTGGTCGATCTCGATCTCCTGTCGCAATTGACCGTTACCAACCTGGCGATCGAGAACGTGCATCTCGCGGAGATGACTATTATGCCGCTTCTCGAGACCTTGCAGCCCGTGATCGAGAAGAGCGCCGTCGGTTGCCCTCCCCCGTAGCAGCAAATATCGACCGTTATGTTCCCGGACAGGATTCTACTAAGCCCATTTTACGGACCAACCCTCTGCCAAACCCTTTATCTCTCGACTTCCAAGTAGGATTCAACTGGTTTGCAGAATGGTGGAGGGCAGATCAGGCAATTAAAGAAGAAAAAGAGCGGGCTAAACTCGGCGGAAGGCGACCAAGTGATCGAGTTAAAGGTGAACGAGAGGCCCGAGAAGATCGCGAAAAGGAACGCGCGCAGATCCAAGCCGCCTACGACACCTACAAAGCTGAACTGCAAATCAAGATGGCGAGAGCTTTTGTCCAGCAACACAAAGCGGAGGAGTGGTTCAAAGAGAGATATATTCCCGAAACTAGGGACCCTATTCGCCAGCGGCTTATGGAGTTCAGAACCAATGCGTATCGGCAGTGGGAGCAAGATATTGACTCTGGAGTATTTGATGAGTTTACCCTAGAAGGCATTTACAAAAGCGAAAGTGACGGAGCAGGTGGCATCATTGAGAAGGAAGAAGGGGAAGCGACAGCCGTGGGGGAAACCCTTAGTGTTCTCGATCTGGTCCCCGCACGCGGAGGCGATTTGCGCGACGATTCGCTACTGCAACCTGCTCTCTTGATCAAAACTTTGGCGCCCAATGTCAGTCGCGACAAGATCGAAGATTTCTGCAAGGAGCATCTTGGTGAGGGAGATGGCGGATTCAAATGGCTTAGTTTGAGTGATCCTAATCCTACCAAAAAATGTCACCGGATGGGTTGGATTATGCTTCATCCATCAGAAGCGGGCTCATGGGCAATTGAGAGAAGCGATGGCAGGGATGAAGAAGGCGAGGAAGGAGATGGTGGCGCAACAAATGGATCTGCCTCCACTTCTACAGCCGAAAAGGCGCTGGAGGCGGTCAATGGCAAAACCATCCATGATCTTGATCGCGGCGACTTTGTATGCCACGTTGGCGTCCATATCCCACCGACGAACCCGAGGAAAAAGGCCCTTTGGGATCTGTTCTCGGCCCCTGAACGTATCGAGCGAGATCTCGAGTTAGCCAAACGGCTGGTATCGAAACTTGACTCAGAACTTGGATTAGGTGACGGCCTGTCGAAGATCGAGAGTCGAGTCGAAGACCTACAGGGAAGAGGTTTACTCCACCCTCCTGTTACAGGCTCTTCGAAAGAAAAGGAAAGCAAGCCGTTCGAAACCGATGTGGATATGATCCTCTCAGAAGATGGGGAAGCCGAGGAAGGAGAAGAGCAGGAAGAGTCGTACGACGAGGAAGTCGACAGCGAGGAGCTCCTTGTTAAGAAGAAGCAGCTGGATCTGCTAGTTGAATATCTGCGTCGTGTTTATAACTTCTGTTTTTTCTGTGTCTTCGAGAGTGATTCGATTCATGAGCTTGTTCGCAAATGTCCGGGTGGACATCTTCGCCGCCCTCGTTCTGGGCTAAGTACTCAAGCAAAAGCCGCAGCAAAAGCTAGCGCTCTCGGCCTACCGTTTCCTACAAAGAAAAAGGAAACTACAGAGGAGGACCAAAACGGAGCGTCGCCACTGGATGAGAAAGAGCAAAAGCAGCCACACTTTTCGTCAAAGGCTGAACAGCAGACTCACCGTGCTTTCAACTGGGTGCGGACGTTTGAAGACAAGCTTCTTCAATTATTGGAGCCCGAGAATGTGGACCTGAGAAAACTTGGTGGAAAACCCGTGGACGAGGCGGTGGAGGAAGAGCTTTCGAAATTTGTTAAGCAAGAAGACGAAGCTAAATTCCGCTGCAAAGTGCCAGAGTGCACCAAATTATTCAAAGCACACCACTTCTGGCGGAAGCATGTGGAAAAACGCCACCCGGATTGGTACAGCGATATCCGCAGAGATGTAAGTACGATTTCCCTCTCATTTTGCTCCCCATACTTATATCTCATCATAGTTGTTCCTGGTCAATGCCTATGTCCTTGATCCGGCACATATCTCCCCATCTAGATCTGATCCGACTAGCAACGGCCATTTCCCATATTCATCCGGCCATATGCCCACCGGAACACCTCGCGGATTCAACCTTGCGAACATGCCTTTCAGCTTCGGGGCAGGTAATGGATCAATGCCTGGTGGATCCCCTTTCTCAGGTCTATCATCCGCCGCAGGATTTACCGGATTCATGAATGCAGCTGGCCACCCTGGTGGCTGGGCTGGTAGTGGACTCCCTTTGACAGGTGCCGCTGGCTCCGGGGACCCGTCTGCTCTGCATCACCCCGGAGTTATTCGACGTGGGAACCGATATGGTGGAAATAGGACGGGGCCGTATGACCGGCGAGGAGGTCGTTTTGGTTCCGGTGGGGCCGGAGGAAGCGTGGGCGGCAACGGTCGACTCAGCCCCGGCCGAATGGCCGGCATGTCTGCGGCTGGTGGTCGCCTGCCTTCAGGCGCTGGCGCAGCATACATTCCACTTGGTCACCCTGCCGCAGCCGCTGCGAGCGCTGGTGTTGGCCCTCGGTGGGGCGATAGTTCAGGCGGGAGCGCACAGGCCATGGGCCCAACAGAAGCAGTTCAAGGCCGCAGCTTGAAAAGCTATGAGGACCTCGATGCGGTCGGGGGGCCCGGAAGTGGGGAGTTGAATTATTAATGTTATCAATTCCATTCTCTTCGCTTTTTCCATCTCAATTTCAATTTCAATTTCTTTTTATTTTCTTTCTCCTTTTTATTTGTGCAGACATTTTTCTCATTTTGAAACAGGTTTCTTTTCAGCTTTGCTTCTTTCGATTTGACATTTTTCGCTGTTGTTTTTTCCCCTCGGCTTTTCATTTTCATTTCAAATCTAATCAGGGTGACACGTGTATTCATATCTATCCAATCATTTTTTTTTTTTTTTTCCATCCTCTGGTCGTTTCTCTCTTACAAAAAACAGGATGAACGGAGTGGTTTTTTTTTTTTTATGTGGCTGAAATCTACCAGCACATTATATACGTGTGCATGTGCATGCGGTCACTTCCCTTCTCTTGTGGTTTCCTAGTATTCTGTCTTGAATTCCTTGCGAGCTTCCTCAGGTAGTTTTAGATACCTTTAGCCAAACGGAGAAAATGGAGTATATTTATTCAGTCGTCACCGTTCTTGGCTCACTAAGAAAGTCGATTTGCATCAATCAGGGCCACCTTTTCGCTGGCATGCCTCGTTATATACAGGTCCTGGTGCCACCATAATGTATCATAGCGGGCGCGAAGGGTGGAGTTTCACTAACTCCAATCAATTGAAAGGAGAATCTTACGTGGAAGCGATGGAAAATCAAGAAAAGAACATTTGGAAAAAGAACCTAAAATTCGAGAATAAACATTCAAAAAAGGCTTGTGGTGAGTGAGTGAGTGAGTGATGTTTGCCTATTTCCACATTCGCAACCACCCAGCACCAATTACAGACCGGGATCCGAACAACAATTCTTCATATAAAATTACTCTGTTCAATCTTCCGCTATCTCGCCCGTTGACCTGTCCTTTACGTGATACTGTGGTGGAGGCCTGTGTGATTGTCTGGATTAAATCTAATCCAAAGTGTATATCGGGATCCTCTGGGCAACATCCTTGGACGGATACCCCATTCCGTCGCACGCGCGCTCAGCCCAATAACCTAGAGATCATTGACCCGATGGCGGGTCTACTGTGATGCCCTTTTCCAACCTCCATCTCTCCACAATAAATTTGCTGCAGCCCTTGCATCGTCATGTCTCTTCGTCATCTACTCATAGAAGTCACCATAAACTCGACCTCACGGTTGACAGGACATGCTTAGCACAGCATCCTTCACCGATCCCAGGTACGAGAAAAGCAGTCGGTCATGAAGTTATACATAAAGGCATCATCATAACCGTCATAATAATCAATAATCTTTCGAAAAACGCCCCATCAATCCATAAAAATAACTGGCTCGTCCGCTCCATCCCTCCACTGAACACCGGTTATTTTCCGGACGCTCCTATCGCTGGCCAGGTACATCAACAAGTATACATGCGGTGCGATTTCGCCCCAACTATATATTTTGATCGTGACATGTTGCGCGGCATCGAGCTCCGCCTTCTGCTGAGAAGACCGGGTCTTTGCTGAACTTTGGGTGCTTGTCTGGGATGTAAGATCGATTATGGAGTGTGAATGGGAGGACAGACATTGCGAGCTGGGAGCTGGGGAGTTGGATTCGCAAATGCACCACACGCCCCAACCGGCGCGGCCGTCGTCGGCGATGAATTTGGTAAGGAAGCCCCAGAAGTCGAAGAAGCGTTTGCTGGTCCAAGATTTGTTGGCTCGTGTAGGATTACGACTCTGAGACTGGGTCACATTTGAAGTATTCTTATGATTGTCTTTGGTGCTGGTGCTGGTGCTGGTGCTGGTGGGGGCGTCGGAGATGGTGAGGTTTAGAAGCCAGTAGCCACGCTCCAAAGTTCGTAAGGGGCGAGTTTGTCGTTGCGGGCTAAACACCCTGGACAGTTTGACTCTGTCAGCGAGCATTTGTAGTGTGGGCGTGATGTGAGTTGTAAATTGAGCTGTGGAAGAAGGCACGGGCCGCGGCGGGTTGATCTCAAGAGGCAAGGACGAAAGCCATTCTAAGGGTACGGCCGGGGCTGCTGATGCTGCCGTTGACTTATCCAATGGCCGAAAGGGCTCCGGCTGTGGAGATAGATGCGAAGGAGCTGATGGCTTAGATATGGACGAATTGGGCGTAGTAGTAGTGGGAATAGAAGACGGTATGCATGCTGGGGAAGAGGAGAGTCGGCGGCGTTTTGCTTGAGAGATCTGGGTATCTAATGACGATCTTCCTATTTGAATGACTTTCTCCAATTTCCTGGGCGGGCTATTGTCCTTTTCAACATTCCAACTGGCTTGAAAAGAAGACTGGGATTCGGGAATTTCGCTGGGGGGCGTCTCGGTAACCTGAGAGCTTGGAATGGTTGCGTGAACGTTTGGAGGGCCAATTCCAGGAACTCTAGGAGGAGAATTACTCGTAGTCACGAAAGAATTCTCAACACCAGCGCCTACATCATTTTGTGAGAGGGACGTTTGTATTGAGGCCTCCGAAAGGGCCAGCAGGCCACAGGTAGTTTCCCCGAAACTCGGGCCCCATGTCGATGGCACAGGAGTACTCTTCGCGGAAGATACGGCAGTAGAGATGTCATGTAATGTTTTCTGTCCTCGCTCATCCAACTCTGAGATGTGAGGTTCATGGCTTTCACCCTGCGGCGATGTCTCGCGGACATGGTGTGGAGATTCAGCAACGTCGTCCGTACCAGTTTCGCTGCTTGGAGGGTCAGGATAAATCCTTATCCTTGACACTGGCTCAAATTCAAAATACGCAGCTGCGTGAGCCCGGTATCTCGCGTCGTCCTTTGCAGAACCGGGAGCAGAGATGTGGGTGAGTATTTCACCGCTGTTGGGCATCGGAACGAATCATCAGGCGCTGCAATGGAAGTCCAAAACCACCATCGTCATTGTAAATAAGATGCCCTTCGGGCTCTAGTAAACATGTTAGGTTTGATCGAGTTATTTCTTGCCATATGTTGGTATTCTCCAGGGCTTCCCGGGCAGGTTGAGTTGCGGGAACTAATTGTGGTGATAGTTGCCTTCTATCCTGCGGATTAAGTTCAGTATCCAAAATAAATAAGTTACTACTATGGAGTACTTAGTTATTGATATCTTTCAACCCGGAGCAATCACGTCCTCTACAAACCACAAATGGAGCAAGATTAAACTAACCATTATTTGCTTGCACATGAATATAGCCCGCAAAGGACTAAATTTGATGCGAATATTAATGGGGTGATGGGCTAGCACTGAAAACATGTGCCTACAACGAAAACCCAGACAGAGAAGAAACCGCCATGAGAAAAGAATATCAATCGCTTCGAGAGTCAGGCGCCCCAGCTTAATGGACGAAAATGCAAATACTTTCCAGCAATCCTTCCCTCTTCCCCCCCTCTCCCTTCCTTCCCTTCTACATTTACTCTCTCCCCATGGCCTTTTCAATGGCCTCAAGACCAGCGATAACTTTTTCGTCGCAGAATTTCCTCCCAACAAGCTGCAGGCCCACCGGTGCCCCCTCGTATTTCTCTGGTCCCGTATAGAGATTATAATTATATCGATCCTTGTCGTTACGAGGTCGGTAATTCTCATCGCGCGCATCTACTACCGGGTCCACGGTGGTAACAGGGAAAACAGCACCGGGGTAGTCGAGTAAATTCCACTGTGCCGTGTAACCCCAATAACGAGCTGTTTCGTGTGGTGGAGCACATCCGGGCCCGACTGGGCACAAAATCAGGTCAACTTCACCGGTCGGAGAGCTGGCTGTTGCGGACCAGTGCTTGGCGTATGATTCACGGTAACCATCACGCTCAAGGCACAGCTGGGATGGAAAAAAAAAAAAAAAAAAAAATTTGTTGTCAGTTGGACTATGATTTATTGACCGGTGCGAGTGCATTGACACAGACCTTCCAATATTCCGCCATGGTATGCGGTTTGACCGTGGGCTGCTCGTGAATAATATATTTCGTTAACGGCAGGATGGGTTCACCAGATGCCTTGAGCAAATTAAGGACATCTTCACCTCCGTCCGGGAAGTACAGAGCGGAAACGATATCCCACGCTTCGGAGTGGTTCAGCGGCACCCAATCGACGACTTCCATCCCAGCGTTTCGACATGCATTGGCAACTTCTCGGAGCGCACGGAGCACCGGAGGATGCGGTTTAACAACACCATCGTCCCATTCGATAGCGATTTTCAGAGGCTTCGTTAAGGTGACTGGCGTCCATGGGATGGGGGTCAATGATGGGTCCCTACGCCAGGGCTCGCCATCCAATGCAACTTTCATAAACAGATCAATCGCTTCTCGACTCGTGCAGAGTGGGCCGTAAGTTGCGAGGATACTGTCGAAACCAGCCATTCCAGCCTTCTTGCCTTTGCCGGAAATCCGCGTGCAGGTCGGCTTAAAGCCGTATACACCGTTGTTGCTTGCGGGACAACGGATACTACCTCCAATATCACCGCCTACGCCCTTTTGGGAGATTTAGTATTGAGCGGGTTCACCACTTTTTCGCGACGATATTTGAGTTTGTTGTAACTCACCAAAACACTCCCCCGCATTGCAACCAGAGCTCCTTCACCGCCGCTACTGCCTCCTGAGGTGAGATTGCGGTTGTGGGGATTCACAGTCCTGCCGTATATATTGCTTGTGCATTCCAGATGCATAAGGAGCTGGGGGCCGGTGGTCCGAACATAGAACACACAGCCGGCATCATAAAGCGTATCATTCAAAAACCCTTCATCTGAGGGATGGTCGATCCAGCTGACGGTGGAGGCGTTGCATTTCTTACCTTTCATACCATGATGCTCTTTGATGGAGATCGGCAGCCCATGAAGAGGCCCTACAGGTTGAGTTAGGGAATCGAGATATTTCGCTCGCGCAATAGCCTCATCCCACATAAGTTCCGTAACACAGTTAACCTGTTTTCAAGACAGGATTGATCAGCGACACCGCAGCACCACGTACTATATATATAGTACAAAGGGGAGAAGGGCAATGGAGGGAGGGAGGACACGAACTGCATATTGAGCAACGGCAGCTCTACGGAGGAATGCTCTGGTTAGTTCTTCGGAGGTAATCTCCCTGGCGCGTAGCATACGTAGAAGCGCAATGGCGTCGTAATTCTGGGTGAGGTCATGTTCGCGAGCCGTGAGGAGTTGCTTGGCCAGGTCTATTGAGCTCAACGGCAGCGGATCAGGCAACGGGGCAAGTGGAGAGTCGACCCTGGCGAGAGTCGCATCGCGGTAATCGCGAACTGTCCGGGCCTTCTCCTCCCAAGATTCAATCATTGCAAAGTAACCTTTTGGTGTTATTGAATTATGGCTTCGGGGTATACACACACTCGGATGAATGTGTGTTTAGTGGTTTGGGTAAGTGAATCCCGTTTAGGTGGAATGAAAAGGACCGAATAACCATTTACGATACTATGCAGAACGGGGTTTATTATATTGGTGAAATAATAAAAAGACGCCTCCGCAGCATGTGCTTCAATCAATTCCCCTCACCGTGGTGATCGCAGTGCCACTTCCACATCTCTTCGCCCCATTTATCGGTGGTTCATAGGCCTGAATGCCCCTCATTTTTTTGGGCGATGGTTCGGCTCCAATCTGTCGTGATCAAGCTTCGGGACACAGCTCGGCCCAGAGCATCAACATGTCGAGAATTTGCATGTCGGCATGGGTTGATACGTGCTGTTAGTGTGTAACACAACCTTTGCTGAGGGTAAATAAATCAAATCAGAGTCGAACAGAACGGTAGGCGGTTTGTATCCCCCCACCCTTGAAGCATTTATAACCAAACGATGAAGAGGAGGATGGGGTAATAGTTGTAGTATAACCACGCCAATTGATTCCACGTCAAACCAATTAGCATTCCGTTTTATGTGAAGAACACATGATTGATATGGCGATGGGACCAACGGTGCAAGCTCAGTAGTCTAACTGACAACCTTAAATAATCCGATAGAAGGCTCCGACACAACTCCTGAAAAGTCACAAAGATGATGATCAATGCTAAATTTCAGTTTCGCGATTCTCTTAATATCATGGCCCTACCGTGAGCAACTTTAATTCCTTGACTGATCAGTGACTCGCTTCACCTACGGTTTTAAACCATCCTCATTCTCAAAACTCCCCTCACCAACCCTGGGGAATCTAGTACCATTAAGCAGAAGCCTATTGGTACCTCTTAATAGATGTTGAGTAATCTAGGGAATCCTATTCTCATAGGTTTCTATCTAGTAGTTGTTGTTGGGCAACTGCCCTTTCACAATTGGTATCATATCATATCATACAAAAAAATTGGGTTATATGGACTAAGTTGCCCGCTAACGTTCTGCACGCGTATGCATGGGCCTCTATGATGCAAGAGATTCTTCATACATTTAACCCTGTCAGCCACCTATTATGCGAGCTATTGTAACCCAGCTTCTCCGGCCATTGCCTGCTTCCACAGCACTACTAGTTTCTTGTTTGAAGACCCGTGGCAGCGTAGCTCACTTGTCAGATCTCAGCAAGCAAAGTTTCTTTTGCCAGATAGAACGTTGCTAAAGAAGAAAACATCATATGCAATGATGAGAAATGCAGCAGAAAGCCTTGTATATCCCACAGAAGATCAAGCGAGAAGAGCTCTCGAAATCACAGAAGAAGTTTAAAGCAGACCTGGAGACGCAGGGGCGGGGAGGAAATATTCGATATACTCATGAGTCACATATCTAGCCCCATTCCTACAGCGCTTTTGATCATCCTGTGTTTCATAGTTGATGGTGCGCAGCACAGTAGCCATGACATGACCGATATCACCCGGGCTGAACCTCTATTCCCAGGAGAAGCACAATGGCTCCGACGGTGGCAATGGAATTTTCTAATTCCTGCCAGTGTTGCCAAGGTTTGCCAGCAGAGCGGTATCAGTTCGAGAAAGAGAACGGAAAGTAGATGTAAAAGAAGAAAGGAATGAAGGAAGGAAATGAAAATGAAAATGAAAAAAGGAGCAGTCGGATGCTCTGACTCCTGTCTCAGAAGGGACTGGCGGATGTTAACGATGCACATCTGGTCCGGAAGCAAGGAGGCATGGATAGTGCGAGAAGATTCATCAAGGGGTTCTGCGGATGATACCATATAGCTGCTGATGTATGTACAACTTTGCTATCTGGAAGAAAGGGCAACTCATGAGTCCTTGACTAATGGTCCCTCGCGTACATTTTTGGAATTCGAGTCAGAATACGATGTGGCCTGTCTCTTCACACCCGCTATTTTTGTGAAACCGTTTCTTATGCTTGTCTCATCGGAGGTTTGCTGAGCCACGGAGCACCCTAGGGAAGCTACATATTGGCTCATAGAATTGGTATAGAAATCACTTCATAGTCTACTCAGGCGTACTGGTAAACATCATATTTCCAGTGTGGACTTCACCGAAAAACGAAGCTAAGAAGCAGCTCACTTCGGGATAGAGGGAGGCATCTCAACAAGCCAGGAAAAATGAAATTCTTTGCCGTGCCATTGTTCCCTGGCCTGGCCAGGGGAATGGTCCGATTGAATGAGGGCATTCTGTAAAACAGGATGCATTGACCTCTCCTGCTGTAGATTTTGAAAAAAAAAAAAAAAAAAAAAAAAAAAAAAAAAAACCCTGAAATTTGACTAGTTGAAAGTTACACGCTGATTGTCTGGCACCTATTCCTCCGCCACACTGGACACAAATCTGAGTTTATTTGTAGAGTTACCAGGTTTGAAGACGGAAACATTGGCCGTTTCTGAGTTCACCGTCAAGGTTTGAAGTCGTAGACACCAGCATGCATCCGCTCAAGCAGCCAAGCACGGTATGCACCATTGATCAGACGCGCCATAGGCGAAAGGATCTTATGCCCAAACCACTCCGTAGTCAATGCTGAACTCATTCAAGTTGATGTCCCGCGATCTCAGTATCTATCCTTGGAGAGGGCGTTGCAGGGTTTGGAAGATTCCACGGTAACGAGACGCCGCTCAGTACTATTACTCAGCATCAGTACGGCAGCCTATAGTGACAAATGTGTCAAATGGGTTTTTTTGATGTTTTCCACTGTAATTACCTAATTCCACTTACATACACTGATAGAAATTTATACTAGAAAGCAATACACCTTGGATTCTCTAAGTACTGTACAGATTATATATATATGTATTAACAATGATATCTATCACTTGTATCTAATGATGATATCTCACGATGATATCTAGCGATGATATCTAGCGATGATATCTAGCAATGATATTTAGTGATGATATCTAGTGATGTGGTTCCCTACTATGCTGCGGCTGGCGGTCGCAGTGTATCAGTGGCGGGTTCAGTGGCCATGCCCGCTGTGGGCTGGGCCACACCACCACACCCATGAGTATACATATCACTATGAGCACAACCATTTAACAAATGATTATGTTGGCTTCTCACTATGGATAATCTAGTGATTGTAGTGCTACCTCATCACAGTGATGATATATATTGAAGATGATATCTAGCAATGCACTTCCTAATAATCAACAAGCTCTATTCAATTACAAATAGAATGAATATGATTGGTGTATGTACATTATAACACTAGTATAAAAAACCTATTTGACACATTTGTCACTATAGGCTGCCGTAATCCGCCCTGCCGTGGTTCCTCGCAGCCAACCTGCAATTTGCCCCAGCCCATTTCCTCCCCCGCGCAACGGCCCAGGGTTGATCTGCAGCGCTGTATATCCTGTCCCCAATCGCCTGATTCCCCCTCTCTATCCAAAGAAGCAAATATATTATTGCCAGGCTTGTTCCAGATGGCCTCGATCGGACAGCACGATGATTCCACGCCGAGCGGGAGCTCAACGACTCTTGGTACGTATTCAATATTTATACATATAGCTAGTGTTTATCTATGCTCTTTGCTCTATGGAATCCCCTCCAGCTCCAGGGTTTTGGTTTGTTTTCATTTTCCTATTATTCCCTCTTGAATATTTTACTCCCATTTATTATCCTCAAAATCTCTTTCCCTTGTCCGCCGCAATTGCTTTTGCCTATGTTCTCGCATTGCACAAGAGTTGTTCGCGATATTCCCCATCAGAGTTGTTGTCAGCTTAACACACTTCATCTCTTTCTATATGAATTCCTCCTCCTGATCTCATATTCTGCCCCAAATCTGTCATTGATTTTTTATCTTTTTTATATACTAGTATATACACCCGCCATCCCAGCCTTCCTTATATTTCAGCACAACTCAAAAGGATGTTTGAGCTTTCGTTCCGTTTGAGCCCTCTCTGTGGCCAGCTTTCTATTCAAGCAGCATTTGCTCACTTGTTTGCGCTTTCGTTTTCCCCTCCGTGGAGGGCCATGGGGACACTGTAAACGGCCTTCTGCTCTTCTTTCATCGCGGAACTGAAATGCTGTTTGCCCGTCTCTCAGGGTCCTCCATTGAAGGGTAGAAACGGTTGCGTGATGTTGCAATAGGAACCCAACACACAACCTCAAAGAGTCCATCACTCGTGAACATGTCCTTCCTGAAAAACTTGACCGGTCAGAAGAAAATTACGCGAGGTATACAATCCAAGGCGTTTATGACACACATACCAATTGCCCTATGCTAGAGATGGTACTAATTCGACGGACAGATGGAATACAGCCAAAGCGCAGAGGGCCCAAGCCAGATAGCAAACCTGCACAAACACGGCGACAAGAATTAAATAGACAAGCTCAAAGGTACTAGCAGTCATTTTCGCTGAATAATACGGAAAGTTGGACATAGTACGGCTGTGCTGAGTCGATACCAGGACACACCGAGAGCGGAAAGAACAGTATATCAGAGCACTGGAGACGGAGATTTCACGATTAAGAGAATCCTACAGCAACGATATGTCGGCCTCAAATCTGTCAATCCACGCATCCAATCTATCAATTCAACAGCAGAAGAAAGTCTTACTGGAGCAGAAAGAGGAGAACGCGATGCTCAGACAGATTCTCACCGTGCATGGCATTTCCTTCGAGGCGGAACTTGAAAGACGAAAAGCTGCCCTTCGAGCCGGTGCCCGACACACCCATACACACTCCTTTGGCAGCACTATTGCTCATTCCCATCCACAACCCCATGCTCCGTCGCAAGCACACTCTCATTCGGTCTCGCAGGATCTCATGGGAGATGCGAACTACCCCATTGCTACGCCTCCTGCTACGGCATCCGCCGTGAGCCCTCAGACTGGTTCAGATTATACAGATACACAGGGTGGAAGAAACATTATTCCTTCATATTCGGGATCTCAAAGGTTCCAAAATGAGCAGCCCGGTGTTCCCGCAGAATCAAACGCTTGGGGAGGCGATAGTTTGGTGGTGGACGACATACCGGGTATTTTTGAAAAGGAGCCGCAGTTGGGTGTTGAGTTCATCCTCTCGTAAGGAAGAGAGCAACCCCAACCACGTAAATCCTGCGTTGCGTGGCTAAACGCGTCATTTTCAACTAACACTGATGCACAGCCTTGAAGAATCCTGCCGAACTCATATGGAATTTCTCTGCAGGCGAGCTGAGGACGACGAGGGCTCCGAGACAATATCCGGACACGCCTTAATGGCATCCTGCCCGCCCCCGACCCAAATCGTTTCCACAGAACCGGGTCAAATGTACCCCGTCCGGACCTACGATATACCGTATCCAAATCTAGCAAAACTTCTCAATTTAAGTCGCCAACTTGTCACAGATGGCCAGATCACGCCCATCATGGCGTTACAGTATTTAAAAAGCCACGACATGTATCTGTCATTGACACGAGAAGATGTGCAGAATATGATGGACGACCTTAATACTAAAATCCGATGCTACGGGTTTGGCGCAGTGATTGAAGATTTCGAGTTTATGGACTCGTTCAGCAGCGTGATAGCGAGGAAGCTGGAGCCTCTCATGGATGCTGACCCTGACGATTCCATGGGCCTCCCAGCTGCGCCCAGGAAACTTTCGTCGGACGGTCTGATGTATTCTTGAGACAAGCGGAAGGAAATGGCGGAAACCATTTTTGGATGATATCTTACTTCTACAAAGAAGAGGTTGACCGCAAGCTAAAATGGAAATAGAAACAGGCAATTTCACGTTCAACTGTATTGAGTTTCCTCTTTGTATATTAACTTGTTTTGCATTCCCTTCTCTCCTCTTTTTTTTGTTATCTTTTTGATTTTTTGATTTGTTTATCTGTTACTCCTGTACTGCGTATGTCTGTTTTCTCGTTAGTCAAAATAAAGTCTAAGCATTCAGGACGTTCTGGCTCTTGATAGTGTCTACTATCGGTTAGCGCCGTTGGGGAAACAGCTTATTAAGGCTGTAATATATTACGCGTGTATTTTACACCCAAACCTTAAATATAGCGTTATGTAATCATGCCAAGACTTTCTCCCACATCGAGAGATTGAACAAAAAAAGTCCGAAATTCAACAACGACGAGGAGGACGACACCACAGCCGTCCCATCTACTCAACAACGGCACGTCGAAGAAGGACAGGATCCAGACATCATCATGGCTCCCGTTTCGATTGCAGATATCGTCGCATCTCTCCCTTCGGAGGACTCTTGGGGCCCTCCTGTGACGACTGAAACGACTCTCGATGGTGTTCCTTACGCGCCCTTCTCAAAAGGCGATAAGCTAGGCCGGATGGCAGATTGGGCTTCAGAAGGGAAGGACGGAAGAGATGGGCGTGGTGGTAGACAGGCATATAACCGTATCTACAGAGGTTTGTACACTTGAAATATTAACATTGTTATTATTGTTTCCCTCCATAATTTTCGATATTGCCAGTTTGATAACTCTTCCGGCGAAAAATTTCAATAGATCAACAAGTGTATGGTGCTGGGACGTCAAGTTTATTCTCCGTGCAGGTGGCCGAAGATGAGTCTTCCTTCTCCGTCGTCGATAATACGAGATCTTCTACGAAGACTCGTGGATTTGGCCGCGGCGGGGGCACAGTCTTCCGTGGCCGTGGCCAACGAGGTGGCCCGGGGCAACGCGGCCGTGGTGGCTTCCAAAGAGTGGGTGCGGGACGGGGCGGTCAGCCTGGAGGTGATCGATACTATGACAACCGTGGTGGCCGAGGTGGTCGGGGCCGCCGATTTGGGTGGAGAGACTACGACAAACCACAGCGTAACCGTGACAGTTCGGTTCACATCCGCACTGAGTGGAACATGCGGGAGGAGATTGACTTCACGAGACTTGCGAAACTCAACCTCGAGACTCCCGATGGCGAGGATATTGACAATTATGGATTTCTATACTACTATGATCGCACATACGATAAGCCTCCCGTGAGAAACACGGAACGGAAATTACAGTCCCTTGATCGTGCTGCGTACAATGTCACCACAACCGCTGACCCAATTATCCAAGAACTGGCCGAAAAAGATGAGGCCACCGTCTTTGCAACGGCTGATATCCTTTCCATGCTTATGTGCGCTCCTCGCAGCGTGTATTCTTGGGATATCGTTATCATCCAACAAGGCAACAAGATTTACTTCGATAAACGCGACAACGCTTCCATCGACTTGGTAACTGTCAACGAGAACGCTCAAGATGCTCCCCTTGAAGCCTCAGAGGCCGGAGGAGCCAAGCAAGATTCCATCAACACCCCCGGTGCCCTCGCCATCGAGGCCACCGTCATCAACCACAATTTCGCTCTCCAGACTGTAATTGAATCCGAGACCTCCAAGGCCGACTTCGCCCACCCTAACCCATTCTACAACCCCTCTGAAGAGACCGAGCCCCTCGCATCCAAGGCCTACAAGTACCGCCGCTTCGACCTCTCACTTGAGAAGGATGAGGAGCAGCTCCAACTAATCGTGCGCACCGAAGTCGACGCCGTCGTGAAAAACAACATTAGCGGCGATGACCAATACCTGACCATCAAGGCCCTGAACGAATTCGACCACAAATCCCAAGGCGCCGGCGGCGCGCTCGACTGGCGCACAAAGCTGGTCTCCCAGCGCGGCGCCGTCGTCGCCACCGAGATGAAGAACAACAGCTGCAAGCTTGCCCGATGGGCGACGCAGGCCATCCTCGCCAAAGCCGACATGATGAAGCTCGGCTTCGTGTCGCGCGCCAATCCGAAATCAGCGTCTGCGCACATCATCCTGGGCGTCGTGGGCTACAAGCCGCGCGAGTTTGCGGCGCAGATGAACTTGAACCTGTCGAACGGGTGGGGTATTGTGCGGACGATTGTGGACTTGGTTCGAGGGCTGGAGCACGACGATGGTGAAGACGGCGGTGACGGCGACGTGCGCAAGTTTGTGCTTGTGAAAGATCCGAATAAGCCTGTTATTCGACTTTATCAGGTTCCGGTGAATACGTTCGATGAGGATGAGGATGCTGGGGTTGAGACGGTGAAGGAGGAGAAGGAGTCAGATGAGGATGAGGAGTAAAGGCAGCTAGTAATTTTAATTTATTTTATTTTTTTTAAATTTACTTTTCCTATTTGATTACTTGGTTGATTAAAAGCGTCGTTGATAGGGTTGATGACGCCGTTTAATGACACCTTCTCCCTTCGTTTTCTTAGTTCTACAACTTACCTTCCCGAATATGCGATAGATGATGGTAATGCCACTTTTCCGTATTTTTACATTCCACGGATATCGGAAAAATATGAGACGTTAATGTAAGGGGTACTTTTCTGTTCCTATACACCCCGGCAGAATGATATATATATATATATAACGTATTGTGCGCCAAACACTTCCCTAGCTCGAGTGAGAGACTGCGAATGTCACGAAAAAAATCATTGTCAGATTAACCAGTCAGGTATCCCTATTACTATATTTCATAAACATTCACCAATATGCAACGCGATTGTAGTCTTCTCTCCTAAATGCGTTTGCCCTCACGCAATTTCTTCAGGGAAACAGCAGTGGCCGTTCAGAATATGAGACGGGAAAAGAAGGAAATGAACTTGAAGAAGTAAAAAGAAATATACGGGAAAAAAACTAGGTAGAAGAATTAATAAATAAATATGCATATCTCTCTCTTTATTATAGAAAAACTAACTTTTCTGTACTGAAATGTGATCTCACATGAAAATCTATCTAGCCAGCTCTGTGATCAGTACAACTCTGATATTGATATCATCACTAGATATCTTCACTAGCTATCATCGCTATTGCTACATATCATTGCCATATATCATTGCTAACTAATCAATATATATCATTGATAGATATCATTCATTCAAACAGGTGAGTAGATAAATAGATCAATAGACAGTCAGATAATCATTTAATAAGTCAGTATTATCGGATAAATAAATAACTAAATGATGATATTTATTCTTATAGAGATTAATTGAATGTTGAGCAGCTAGATTGATTGAAAGATGGAGAGATAGTCTCAGATAAATAGATACTGGTAGCTATCATTCTCTTTCATCAATAATTAATTCAATATCAAACAAATAAAAATAGAAGTTATCAGTTAATTATAAATCAATATTTAATTCTTTAAAAGTTTCATATAATTCTCCATACTCCATATAACGATGTGACGGTTAGCCAGCGGCTGAAAATGGCCGTTTTCGCGGCTGCTTTTGGCCTCCCGCTAACCGCCCAACGTCGATCATCACGTGAATTTATCCCCACGGCCGCGACGTTTCCCTCCACGCCATGGCCACGATTTTTGAAGTTACTGCATTTTCGAGGCTCCTACATAGTAGTCACCCTCGCTCACCCACTGCCCTTCTTTTTGGGGGGGGGAGCCGTTTTTGATGCTTCACTCAGTCGGTTTTGGCTCCCCCCCCCAGATCATGTTATTCTCTCTGCTTCCAGTCCCCGTCTCTTTCATCATGCCGTCTACAGCTCCCTTCCCTCCCCTCCTTCACAGCACTACCCGGCCAGTTCTATCCATGAAAGCGTCTCAGTCTTTCATTATTTATTCCGGTCCCTCTCTACTGTCAGCTCTTCTTGAGCCGCCCCGATCATGGCGCCTCTCTCTTGTTTGGCCGGACCTGACAAGCAGAGCAGGAGCAAGACGGATGTCAGGTCTGCTCTGGATACCCTCTCCACGCTGGATGCCATCTTTTCAGACAGTGGGTATGAAAGTGGCTCCGTCAGCGACGATGAAGACGACGACGACGGCCAACTCCCCGCCGAACACTACCTGGCCTTAGCAGAGAGCCTTGATATCGCTCAGCTTCGACAGAAGCGGTACAGCCCCAATACCCAGGAAAAACTGGATGAGACCCGTGATTACTGGGAGAGGTAGGCAGTGGCTCGTTTGACCCTCAGACTGTGCTATAAGCTCACCAGTGGCGCTGGGCAGGTATTGTCGGCACATCAAGACTAACGCGGAGCTGCAATGGAATCGGATCTCTGATTCAGAGGAGACGGTTCGCTTCCTGTATGCATTCTTCAGTTGGCGGTGTGATATCCGTCGTGGCAAGAATAATCGATACTGTCCGGGCATTAAATGCAAAAGCTCACTGGAGACATTCTGGAAGTGGTGGCATCTTGTCCTCAAGCAGGAAACAGCATCGGGACTCAGCAAAGATACAATTGTCAAGGTGGAAGATGTGAGCACCTGTGCTCCCTCTCCTCGGATCACTAAACCAGAAGCACCACTAATCCCTTGCAGGTTGTTGCACAGGTGTCCACAGAAAAGGAGCTGGCTCTTGTTGGGCGGCCAAAGAAGAACATGTATATTGAAGATGTTGCTGAGTTCGCTCAAGTTGTTCTCACCACCACTGAGATGACCTATGTCTGCGGTTGGCAGCGCATTCAAATGCTTTTCTTCTTGCAGCTTGCAGCCATCACCGCCAGCCGTCCCTCGGCGATCCTCCATCTTCAGTATCGAGACATTGTGTTAACCCTGATCCGAGTTCCAGACGGTGGACGCCCCCGATTGTTCGTATTCTTAAAACCAGAGTTTACTAAAAGATTTCTTGGAAATAAGGCACCGTATGTGTTTCTGATCCTCGTAGCATGGCCTAGTTGACTGACAGAATTGATAGGAACGAGTTTAAGGTTCCGGAAATCATCTTTGACCCGACCCTGGTTCTCAGCCCGCATATCTGCCTGCTGACCATGCTCTTTCACATTGGGGGATTCAAGTCAATTTCAACAACTGGACCAGTGTTGGATTCCGCAGAGAAACTCTACAGTGCCAAAGTGCTGGATGGCAAGGGACAGCAGCCGCTGCTACTAAAGGATGAATTACTGGATAAGTTTGTGTTTTGCCAGACCGAGCCAACACCCACCGGATTTAAAATTTGCTTGGATCAGAGGATGACTGCATCCATGGTGAGTTCCCGGATGCGCCGAGCCGGTGAGATCACGGGCTTTGAGGAGGTCGCCCACCCGTACAACCTCCGCTATGCTGGAGCTAAGGCATTTAACAACAGCGGTAAGTACCCCTCCATTTTCTTCATGTTTCAGTCATGTCGGAAGGCTAACGATGAACAGAGGAAGTTACGGAGGCTCTTCAGAACGTCATGCTCTAACACGCGGATATTCGCACCTTCGTCAAGCATTATCAGGTGGACGTCGACGTTGACGCGCAGGGAATAGTCCGGAAAACAGGCTCCCAAACAGCATTGGTGCGATTTGCCTGCTCGATGAGTGCATCAATCGACCCCAACCGACCGTATAAGCTCTCTCCAGAAGAATCAAGGTCCCTCAACTACCTTCCAGTTGTCCTTGGCCGGCAGGATACTGTCCAGAAGCGCAAGCGGGAATTGGATGACCGTGAAGCCGAGTTAGAACGTGCCAACAAGGTGTGCAAGACTGCTTTAGGGCATCTTGACGACAGAGTACTCGCCGAGTCCAACCCCGAGGTGCTGGAGAGACTGGAGGTTTTCCGTGATCGGACAGCAGAAGCAAAGTCGGTGTACAACAGGGCTGTCCGTGAGCTGCGTAACGAGAAGCAGCGGCAGCGGAACCGACGGATCCGTGAGAACCTTGAGCGCTATAAGAATGAGCAACCTGTGATTGACCTTGAACGACAACTGGCCGGGAAGCTAGTGGATACCAAAGTCATGGACACTTTCGAGCACGAGGCCTTCATGCCTCCGGAGCACTTGATGTTTGTTGACTGCATGTTGACCATGCCGGGCGCTAGTCTTGAAGCGGAATATCAACGGAGGATCAACACAATCAACGCAGGGGTCGCATTCTGTGGCGTGGAGGAAGGGCGGCCCTCGCGCCGGCCCGCGCGCCGGCCCGCGGTCGATGATGGCCCTTATCCTCCGACCAAGCGGCAGAGGTGCCTGGAAAAGGATAACACTGAGGTCCTCTTGCACCAAGCTATGGAGTCTGTGCAGGCCAAGTCTACAGCTGAACAGCCTCAGGCTTGCTTTCGGCCTCGCGTTTGCTTTCTCTGCGTTGGGAATCCTAGTTGCTCGCTGAAGGACCGCATTATGGAATACGCAACACCCGGATCACTTACAAGGCATTTTCTACGAAGGCATATCAACCCTCCATGGCCGGCCGCTGGGGTTGAGTGCAATGTTTGTGAGGGGAAGGTGCTCCCGGCCAAATCTGCTCTTCTCAACCATGCAGAGGAGGCCCATGGAACTGTTGTGCGGGGTCGCGCTCGGGAGAAACTGGCGTTAGAATATCAACGGAGTCTAGAGAACTAGTTTTGTAGTATAGATGTGTATATATATATATATATGTAATAAAAGGAGTTGCAGTCCTCACACATCATGGCCATGCTTACTCTTACTCAAATGCATGCTATATCAAAACACAAACGAAATGTAAATCAGACTACATTGCCCTATCGACACATACACTGAATCCGCATTAGTTCATGTCCCTCCACTAACACTTTTGCTACAAAATGCCTAGAAATCTAAATCACCATCTGGAACTATCCGGTTCCTCATTTTCGACTGAGAATGCCAGTTGATGAGGCTGGAGTTGGAAAGTTGGGGGCAGCAGAGCTAGCCAGTGTTCAAGGAAGCGGATGTGGGCAGCGTTGCTGCCGTTAAATGGCGCTAATCAATATTTGCCGTAATCATGGATTCTATGTCTCTGATCCCAAAAAGGCGGCGTGCGCGAATGGGGCCATAGTCAGGGCGCGATCCCGACATTACACAAAAACGATGCCAAGACCTCTTCTAAGGTGGGTTGCAAAGACGGCTCGCACTTCAGGAATGGCACGGATTTTCAAAACTGCTTGCCGACAAAGACCTGTTCCCACCTCCCTTGCCGCCGGTTCCCTGAAATAGGTCTGTTCTTGGGCGCGAGCCGATTGTTACTACGGTCCTTTTTGCGCACGGTTGCATTATTTTGCTCCGATGGAAAGCAAGCAAAAGTTGGGAATTTCATCTATTTATATTTCGCCATTCTAATACGCGCCGCACCGTATCGATCAATGAAGTCCCCATCATCAACCCATTTTAATTCACAAACTATTAATCTCACAACGATCCATCGTGTCTTGAAACTGAGCATCTTGTAGTTCTTGAATGATGAGTGGTTGCTGCTGGAGTTCCTTCCTTCGCGCTTATGTCCGTGTAGATCGTTTAGTTAATCAGCCCACCGAATAATGAAGCCATTCCATATTCATATTAGCAAATGCGATGATGCGCCGGGATCCAGTAGAATTCTTCGAGGCCCTGTGAATTGGCCCTTTCCAAACTGTCGATAATTCTCAAAAGTATGGACTGGCCAGACGATCTCCGGGGGTTCTGGAGGGCTTTTAGGGCTGCCTGGTTGTCCGTAAAAATCGCCGCTTTGTTGCGGCTTGATGATGTTAAAATTAAGTTTAGGCCAATGAGGATGCCAAGAAGTTCTGCCGCATAAACGGTGGTGGCCGTTTCTTTACCGAGGTACCGTCCCCGGGGCCACTACCGTCCCTGGGGCCACTGATGTCCCTGGGGCCACTGCCGTCCCTGGGGCCACTGCTTTTGCCGTCCCTGAGGCCACTACCATCCCTGGGGCCACTGCTTTTACCGTCCCTGAGGCCACTGCCGTCCCTGGGGCCACTGCTTTTGCCGTCCCTGAGGCCACTACCATCCCTGGGGCCACTGCTTTTACCGTCCCTGAGGCCACTGCCGTCCCTGGGGCCACTGCTTTTGCCGTCCCTGAGGCCACTACCATCCCTGGGGCCACTGCTTTTGCCGTCCCTGGGGCCACTGCCGTCCTTGGGGCCACTGATTTTGCCGTCCCTGGGGTCACTGCGTCTGCCCCACTAGTACGGTAGTAACTTATCTAATGAATCGCATAAACCACGTTCTCTGTCCAGTTTTCCTTTTTCTAAATAGGGAGAATGAGGAGCCAGGTACAGGCCGTCATTAGAGCAGCGAAGACTCAAGAGGCTGAATTTTCAGTAGCTATCATAAAGTAATGATCTTTAGCTAAAAGATTTATTGTCGAACGCAGCTGCAACACGTTTTCCCTAATGAACTTGTAGTATGAATGGGAGGAAAACAAGAACAAAACTATCAGTGATGTACGTGAAGATTCGTACCACATCTGCAGTATTTCTATTGCACTACGATGGAGAGATATATCCGTCTTCTGTGCGAGGGGGGCACTGAAGTCTTCAAACCCCGGAGCCAGAGGAGGCGTTATATCTTCCATGTCGTCGAGTCCGGGGTTAGATGGGGAATAAGTTCCTCGCTGAACCAGCGTTAAAGGGCTATTTATCGGCTGTATTGTAGGGGGAACTTCAGATCTTGTAGATTCTACAAAATCATTCTTCTCCGCAGCCATCGCCGCATGATATCCTGACCATCTCCTGAGCACCGAATACAATGGCCGAAGAAGGAGAATATCACCTCCCTTGTAACAGCGAACGAGGTCGGGCGCTGAGCAGCAGGCTGATCACAACCATACACATGACCCACAAAGAAATACGCCCCGTCGTTCCGGAGCTGAGAGGCTCGAGGACGGTTGTATCGCCGGACGTCGTCCTCGCCATTGTGACTTAATGCCGGCGTAGAACCCGCTTGTCCGTTTGGAAAGATGTGCTCCAGTCCTTGCTCTGGGGCACACGTTTCAACATCGCAACGAGCTGTGGTCTCATTAGTTTCACGGCAGCACAGCTGTCTGATCTCCGCGGAATCATAACTCAACCTCTGTGCTACGCCGGCGAGCCGGTGCGGGCCTCGCACACGGTTGAGATCGTAGACATTCACTGCGGTTGCTTGATGGTCCTGGAAGAGGACCACAAACTGTCTCATCGCGCACAACCAGAGCTGGACATACGACGAGCACACTCTCATCCTCTGTGCCTCATCGCGACTCATATGGTCAACAGGCATATCTGTGTACTCGCCAAAGGATAACTGGATAGGGCATCTGCCTTCCCTGGGGCCACTGCTTTCCCTAGGTCAGAAGCCTCCTTAGGTCAGAAGCCCATCAATCAACCCCTCTCTCAACAGGCCAGGAAGTTGAACCGACGAACCCCCAACTGCACTGCCCGAACCTCGTGATCACTCTCCCCGCCCTGAGTATATATATATGGGCTCCCTCCCGCCTCGGATCCATCTTTCTTTCAATTCCCTTTCCACCTTCCATCCTACACCGTCGACCGAAACCTTCCGCCAGGCCCTCTCCATCTCTTAGCTATGGCGTCAGCCGATAGTTCCCGCACAGTCATCATCATTTCAGACGACACGGACGAACAGCCCCTGGCACGAGGGACGCGAACGTCACAAAGAAAGAGAACCTTCACAGACTACAGCTATCCAACCTATGATGGTCCATTCGATGATTTAGTGTCTTCTGATGCTCTGGAGTCCGAAATGGAGCGGCCACCGAAAAAACAAAAAATATCCAACTTGGACACGGTTTTGGTAAGACCTTTCCCAGTGAGACTCTTGGGGATATTTCCTCGCTGATATTGAGATAGGAAATGGCGAATCAGGAAATTCATACCATTTTCGAGGCGGAGCGTGCGAAGAGGAGGAAGCTGGAAGAAGAAGTGCAGCACCTGCGTGCAGAGATGACTATGAAGGATGAGCTGTTCTGCAACCTTGAGACTAAAGTCCAGGAGCTGCAGCATCGATGTCAATGTGAGATTTGCTATAGCATCCCATCGGAGTGGAGAACCCTTCTGCCGTGTGGACACCGGTTTTGCGCAGGATGCCTTCGTCCTCTCATTGGCGATGACTGTCCAAAGTGTCGTAAACATATCACTGGTATCCTCAAGAGCTATTAGGATTAGATAGAAACCTTTTATCCTTTTTCTTAGTCAGAGCGGTAGAAACATCCTTGTTAGTCGCGACTTTGTTCTAGTTTTGAGGTTTGCTCTGTGTTATATTTGACAAATATATTAGTAATTCAACTTCTTGTCAACTTATGAGCCAATCAAATGTCAAGTTCAAGTGGAGAAATGAAAAGAAACTTACATTTACAACTGATACCTGCAAAGAAGGCCGGCATAGATCCTCTAACAAGTTCACCCATACAGATTATTATTAGACTTCTTCACGAAGCAGAACCTGTCACATCTTCCTTATTAAATTTGATATTGTCAACTTCTCCTCCTGCCTCCAAAGAACAGAGAGAAGGGAAGGGGGCTCCGCACAGGCGACAAAAGAATGAAGGAGCCGAGGGCAGCGGTTGTTATAGCTTCGGAGAGTCTGTGTCACAGTATGCCGACAGCGAACGAGAACAAGAGAGAAAGACCAAGCGTCGCGCGTAGCAAAATGCCGGGAAATCCTGGGGCCTTTTGACAGAGGGTCCTTGGTCGCCACAGGACCACAGAAATCGATTCAATGGCCTCTGCCGTCTACAGCCCAGCACGGCCACAAGTTGGCCCTCTTTGAGCCTACCAGGTCCATGGATCGCGTTCCATGGACCCGTCAGGCTTATTGTCTCCTGCCTCCAGCATGGCAACCTAGGTCAGTGGTCCTTGGTCATTATGCTAGTGACCACATGATGTAGTCCCTGGCCTTTTGTCAATATTCTTCTGCCACCGTGCCTTTGGCCTGATTGGACTTCGGCCCTCGAGTTTGGACAGAGACTGTACTTCGATGAGCTACCAAGGGTGGTGAACAGAATGCTGACTAATCTTGCCGATAACCCTAACTTGTCTAATCCCGGTATGGTGAGTTTATATATGTATATATCTCAGCAAACGACAACGGGTTGCTGTATCATTATTGCTTGAGATTGATACCAACCGCTATCGCAATTGCCATTATTACTGAATTATTACTAATTACTCAATATCCCAGAAGATGATGTCCCACCCGACCATACAAACAAATCTCAGCAATGAATTAATCAGAAATAGAAAGGTTTCGTGAGATTCGGCCATCTCCCTGCATCACTGCTGACATAATCCACGTGACCTCGTTTGACGACAGTTGTTCTTCCAGGAGTAATAAGCTGCCAGCAGTTCCAAACCTCCAAGCTCCTGCAAATCGTCCAATGTCATATTGGCATATACCTCATAACCCACTGGAACACTCTCTATATTCCGTCGAAGGGATGGAATGGCGATAAACTGATCAGAACCACAAGGCAAGCTGGTGGAAATCATTGGTTCATCGATGATGATTGGGTCTTCTGCGAGAAGTGAGGTGTGAGAAATGTTTTTCACAGCACAGGTGCTGAGCCTTACCAGCAGAACCTGAGTACTTCCAAGGCTTTTCTTGCGTGCCCCACGTTTCTTGTAAATCTGTCCATCCTACTATCTGGTACATCTCATCCCCGTCTCGCTCATAGACCAGCTTCAGTATCTTCACTTGAGAAAGGGGCAAGATAATGTATTCCCGCTTATCCAGCTCCCCCAACGCATCACCTTCCCAACGGTCGGACACCAGGGGGGTAACTTGCTCTGATCGGTGGGCTTGGATGTGATGTTCCTCGCCCGGGCGTGGGTCAGCCTCGATGGAATCATCGGAGTTCAACGGCTCCTTCGATGTGTTGCCTTCGCGATCTTCTGGGGCCAGGGGAAGAGTTGGCTCTCGTCGATTGGATGGGTCATCAGCAACATCGCTCGGGCTTGGGTGAGCCTCCTCGATGGGGTCGTCGGAGAAATCCGACAGTTGGAGTGACGGTGGGGGAACATTGACTGGGGGGGAGTCGAACAGGATCCATTCGTCCCAGTTAATGTCATCGAGACCAGAGACGGTGGATGGCAGGGCAGAAAAATCAGCAATCACCTCACTTGCTGCATCCTTAGAGAGGTCACCGGACGCAGAGAAGAGGGGCACGGGCATGGGCATGGGCATTGGAAGGAGGTGCTGGTGCACTTCGTCTGACCGAGGATCAGGAGTGTACGCCCACAGGAGGTGCTCCATGTGCAGCCGAGGTGAGGGAGAACGGTTGGCAGGTCCAGAGGAGGTGATATCGTACGTGAAGGTAGCCATGTTGTGAGGTGAGATGATGGGATGCTCTTCTCCCTCGATCTCGATCCAGGAGGCACTGGAGGTCTTTATATGTCTCACGATCAACCCCCGCCTGCGAGCAAAAATAGGTCGAGGCTAATCGAGGAGGGTAGGAAAAATAGTAGCTGAGATGTGTCTTGCGTGGATCGCCAATCATCCACACCGAAGAAGCCGCCGAACCGGGGAATGTTGCATTGATGGGGTGGGCTAACGCAGAAGTGCTCCTGGCCACCACCCCCATGCCAACATGGGCTCTCGTCCAGTGAATATCAGCCAGTCAACCTACTCAGCCCCCCCTTTTCCCCCTGGCCATGCGCCAGGAAGTCGAATCCACAAACCGCTAAACCCGGGGACAAGGAGCACGGGGGCATGCATGAGGACGGCCGAACTTCACCCAACCATGTGTGCCAGTCAAAAGTGCGCCTGACTTCGTCTCTGTGCTCGCTCGACTCTAAGCGAAAACACCAACATGAAGCAATATCCAAGGCGCGATTTGCATCGAGGTTTATCATTTTGTGATACACACCCCCACGAGTGCGGTTTGGCAATCCCATAGGGGCTTTATACGCGAAAGCAAAATGAAGGGAAATGCCAAATGCAGCTCATCCTCTGGCCCTATCATCCATGCCGGCTTCTCCAAAGGGCGCAGCAAGGTGGGCGTCAGATCAAGCAAACGTTGGACTCTCATCCAGCCAACATCGACCAGTTGAAGGGGATTCCCCCGCACTGAATCAGCGCTCATACCAGTCAAACCTTTCCCCAACCCTCCTGATATGCCAGGAAGTTCAACCGGCAAACTGTTCGATCCTCTCTTCCAGTCGATAAGGCGAGGGACATGGGGCTGGCATGTAATGGAAAGACGGAACTACACCCGCAGCCAATCATCTGCGCCTGAACCAGTGCAGAAGCATCCCTGTCTTCACCCCTTTGCTCTTTTTTGCGAGAGGGCGCAGCAAGATGGGTATCGGGTCAGTCCACCCTAGCGTTCCCTTCAGGAATTAAGGACCAGGTGGAAGGGATTGCTAACAGACAGTGCAGCCAGTCCAGCCAGCAAGGGGTTGAGATATAAAGGGCTATAAAAGGTCTTCGCCCTTCTCCAAATCTTTTTCCTGCTTCAAATATTCGCCCATCTTGCTTCAAATATTCTCTTCTTCCTCTGCATCTCTGCACATCCTCAGCATGGATAGACAAGGAACCGAGGGCCCTCCGCCACTACCCAGTCAACTTTTGTCGCCCGGTGCGCAACAACCCGCTCTTCCAGCTTATTGCGAGATGTTGGGTGACTTTCTCCAAAAGGCGCCGTTTCAAACCAATACCTCCAGTAAGGGTTTAATGATCTCTCCCTCTTTATTGTCTGTTTTGCTCCTCATAATGCGGCCTTATATTTCTATTTCTCATCTAAGACTGCAGGATCCCTCAACGTCCCGGATGAGCGGCTGTCTGTTGACAGGACCTCAAATAACCGGCCTCAGCCTCCTGGTGGTATCGAACTCGACGGCCGAGACAATATCTCGGATTCTGGGGCTACGACAGAACCGTTGGCCCATGATGAATTGGAGAATCTTCCCTATTGGTATGAGGCGCAGCAGGTTGAAAAGAGCCTTAGGATTTGTCATGTCGGAGATAAAGTATGGCGAAATAATAAATATGTTCACCGTGTGCTTTATGAGAAGGAAACATATCTCCCAGACCATTGGCTCCCCGAAAATGCGAGGCTCCAGCTGCGGAAGGAGGAGCAAAAACAAAGACGGAAGGGGGAGAAACAAAAGAAAAGGAAGGAGAAGAAACAACAAAGGAAGGAGGAGATGCAACGAAAGAGACGTCTGAGGACATTACGTCCTCGACCATCAACACGCAATTAATGGAAGATGGGATGTCAAACCGCTCATTTCTTTATTTGATATTATAATACACAGTCATTTGTCCATCTGCCTCTTGCATTAATTAGATGATACTGAAGTGGTGGCTAGTATAGTCGAGTCAACATCTTGCTCCACGTCTCGCCCATCTGCCGGAACGCCCTAATATGGATCCCCCCCCGGGAGTCAGTGAAGTGGTGGCCCACGACCAAAACTGTAATTCCCCTATGGGAGTTAGGGAATTGGGAGAATGCTGATGAAGGCAAACCCTCAAGGAGAGTCACAATTTTGCACAGGGGGCCAGTAAGGATGGAACCCCATGCGGTGTCGGCATCCCTAGGGAAGTAAGCCCCTTGGGGAGTGTCAGAATGTTGAGTGAACAGGCAACAAAGATAGAATCCCATGCGGTGTCAGCATCCCATGCGGGGTTGGCATTCTCGGGGAAGTGAGCCCCTTGGGGGAGTAAACTCCTTGAGGAGTGCCAGAATTTTGAGTGAGAAGGCAACAAAGATAGAATTCCCATGTGGTGTCAGCATCTTTGGGGAAGTGAGCCCCTCAGAGAATGCCACAATTTTAAGCTCATAGCCACCATAGCAAATCCCGTGAGGGGCGCCATAACCTCAGAAGAGAAGGCCACAAAATTAAAAGTCCGTAAGGAGACGACTCTTTAACAGAGGATAGTGCCATGCTGACTGAAAAAGCCACAGAAAGGATGCCCATCGGGGATGTCATATTTTTTAAGTGAAAGGCCACAGATAATGACAATCCTTGAGGTGAAAGACGAACTTGAAATCTTATTGATTCTTGGCATTTTAGGGTTCAGCAAGCACCATAGCTTTGAGCGTGTCTAAATTTATAAGTGGATAGATTGTATATTCGGCGGCTGCATCATGACACATACACGCGAAAGCAGCCAATAAAACTTCGACTAGATATACTTTCCAAAAAGAGCTTAGTGATGATTTCAAATTAACACTAATTAACAACAGTCTTTCTTCTATTCCTGCTTCTTCTCAAGTTTCTCTTGCTTCCCTTCTTCCCTGCTCTAGTCTTCTGATATTTCATGTAGTTCTCGCACGTTGTTCGAGATGGAGGTGGATAATGTTTCTCCTGTTTCTGTAAGAGCTACGTCTTTCCGGGGCTGTACGCATGGCACTCACTATATCTTTGTCTGGTGGTGGAAAGTGGCTGTTCGAAGCATCAGACTTGTTAAAATTAATTGTAAAGTACCGGTTGTCTTCATGGATGAGGAGGTAGACACCTTTGCAGCGACAGTCATCGAAATATCTACGCAGCATACGCTGCAGTGTGCCTTTCCGTCGGTAACGCATCTGCACGAGGCTACTGTGCTCAGCCCATGGCTTCTTGACACGCTTTGAGCCTGATGTTTGCATGGTGTAGCATTTAATTCCAGTGTAGAAGAAGGGACTTAATTATTATCACTTGATATTATGGGGAGAGGGCTGGATATATAGCTACGAAGTGTTGCTTCGTCGAACCAAAAGTCGCTTTTTGAATGTGTACTTCTGTCGGATGTGACTAGTCGCTATGTCGCGGCGCTTGTATGCTTGGCCACGATCTGCGATCTGAAACTGTGGTCCACGCCAGTTTGATTCGCGATTGAACTCGGCCACGCGATCCGAATACATGGCCACGCTTTGCAATCCGAAACCGTGGCCCTCACCATTTTGACTCAATTTTCCACTCGGCCACGCGATCTGGACCATTTATGCTAAAAGAGAATACGACTACATGACTGTCAAATCGTGTATGCTGATCAAATCGCACAAAACATCAAAGATGAAATTGCAAAATCACAAAACTGCAAAAATTGCTTTTTTGCACAAGTGTAGAAATACAAGCGCACAGCTTGTCAGTCAGAGCTGGGCCTTGCGAAGCTTTAGCTGTCTTCCATTTCGTAGCTGTGGTGTACATGAAATGTCACATCATATACAATCTAGATGGTAGTCAAGGTCCTCCAGCGGGTACCCAACTCCTAGAAGAGGGGAGAAGCGCCCACAGGGGAGGAGCGCCCACAGGGTAGGAGTGCCCACAGGGGAGGAGTGCCCACAGGACAACCACACACTGCTCATATCTAATTTTTGAAATTTCACCACAACCGCGCGTGTAATTAAGCTTAAATTGACGTCATCTTATTAGCCTGGTTTTCGGCTACGGCCCGATACCCGGAACCATGGCTAACTAATAAGGCCAAGTGGCCTCAGTTGGGCGTGCAGCCGCAAAACCTGCACGAGCATGCAACCCAACTCATAGCAGAAGCGACAGCACTGCTAGCTCTAGACAAAGGACAACGCCAGAAACTACCAGATCGGTCACTTGAATCCTTTCTAAACAGTGTACAAGCTTATGCCAAGAAATCCAGAGCAGCTCCGTCCTCCCACGAGATCCTCGACAAGCTCAACCAAATCCATCACATAGCGAAGACAACCATCACAGACGACCTCACCCTCATCAAGAACGCGGTCAACCATGCAGCAACGCACCCGACAGCCAGAAACCCAACCTGGGCCGACAGAGTCAGGTCCGGTGGCACGCCCCCCCAGCCCAGAACGCCTCCACCCGCACAAACGAACAGCAAGGAGAGGGAGATAATAGTCAAACTACGCAACCCCGAGGCGGCTGCGCTGCTGCGAGACAAGACACCAGGAGAGCTACGCGAAAGAGTCAACAATGCACTGAAGGAGCGAACACGCAGCACGGAGCGACCGATTCAGGTGGTAGCCGCCAAACAACTGAAGCGGAGACGTGTCTATCCACACGGTGAACATCGAAGACGCCAACAAACTGCGAGAAGAACAACAGTGGACACAGCCCCTGGGCAGAGAGGCCAGAGCTCTCCAACCCACATACGGGGTCCTGGTTCACTCAGTTCGTACGGATAAGGAGAACATAGACCCCGGCAACCAGTCACGATCCATCGAGAAGATCCAAACAGAGAATGCAACTTTACACCCTGGAGCAACGATCACCTACGTGGGATGGCTCACGAGGACGGGAGCAAAGAAACCGACTTCTTCACTGGTGTTAGAATTCACCACCAAGGAACATGCAGACCGAGCGATCAGAGAGGGATTGGTCCTGGATGCCTGCTACCATCACTGTGAACTCTACGACAGAAGCTGCAAGCTGAAGCAATGCTACAAGTGTCAGAAATACGGCCACATTGGAACTCAGTGCAACGCCAATGAAACATGCGGATACTGTGCAGAACCCCACAACACGAGGGACTGCCGAAAGAAAGAAGAAGATCCAAACTCTACACCCAAGTGTGCACTCTGCAAAGGGCCACACGCAGCGTGGAGCAACAACTGCCTCACCCGCCAAGCAGAGACAGCGAAGGTTGAACAAGCAAGGAGAAATCGACCTTCTTACTACATCAGACCCGACGCCGCAAGCAAGGTGGCACAGCCTGCCACCCGCCCTACCATACCCCCGTTCACCAGCGGTACCCTACGACGAACCCTGGACCAACGCAAGCGTCCCGCGGAAACCCTGCCGACTGAACGCACCACTGCACGACTGAGACGGAACCCGCAGTCGACCACGTTTCGCAACTTCACGCAGGAAGATTCCGAAGTCTTTGTGCTGAACAAAGAGAGCCTGCACAGAGCGATGGAGGACCGGGAAAGAGAAATGAGAATCGAAAACGAGGAATACACCCCGAACAGAGACTCGCCGATAATGACTCGCTCCAGAACCGCATCCCAGCAACCCCCTGTAGACTCAGCCCTCATAGACCCCGCACTGACCGACCTCGAAATGACGCAGACCGATGAATAGTACAAACAGCCTGTCCATACTGCAGTACAACGTCAGAAAGTCCAAGAACAAGGTCATGGCCAGCCTGCTGAAGGATGGGAGCATCAAGGAGTTCGACGTGATTGCAATACAAGAACCGTGGCGGAACAATTTCACCAACACAACCCACTACCCACGACCTCAATCCTTCGATCTGGTGTACTTGGACGACCCAGGCACTAGGACGTGCATGTTTATAAACAGAAGAATACCGCGCGGCAGATGGACCGCAACTACCCCCTCTCCTGACTTCTGCACTGTCTCCATCCAGTGCACCGAGGCGCCCGAGGACACAATCCATATCCACAACCTCTACAATCCGGAGACCAGCACAGGGAACAGCACCATCCCCCTCCTGCGCAGAACGATAACCGAAGCCAACAGTGAGAAACAAATCGTGGTTGGGGACTTCAACCTCCACCACCCACTCTGGGGAGGCACAGGTAGCGACCGGGACGCTGAGGCGGAAGAGTTGGTCACACTCATGGCCGACCAACAACTGGAACTCCTGATCCCACAGGGCACCGTCACGTACGATGAACACAATAGACAAACCACGATCGATCTCGCTCTCGGTACACCGTGGATTCACGAGAGGAAGGCCTACTGCGGGCTCAGGGAAGATCTCGACCACCAATCGGACCATCAACCAATCGCCGTAACAATCATGACAGCGGTTGAAACATGCGACCCGCCCGACCAATGGCAATGGCAACGGACGAACACACAAACACTGGAGCTAGAACTCCAGAGGAACCTACCCCACCCAACCGTCTTGGACTCAGAGGCGTCGGTGGACCAAGTACAAGGACTAGTTCACGCCATAACAAGGGCCATCGATGCCTCCACACCGAAGGCCAAACCAAGCGACCGCTCGATCCCCGGGTGGACACAGGAGTGCAAGGAAGCACAGAGGACAGCGAGACGCCTTCGAAGACGATACCAGAAGACGCGCCTCGAGAGCGACTGGGAGGCATACTGCCAAGCCAGGAACTACAAAGGGAGACTCATCAAAAAGACACTCCGCGACGCTTACCGAGCAAGGGTAAGGGAGGTGAGCGACTCGCCACACGGACTTTGGAAGCTGGCTAGATGGGCCCGCAGGCGAGGGACAAGACAGGCGTCCACACCACCTCTGCGCCGAAGCGACAACGGCCTGGAGCACAACCACCAAGCCAAGGCAAACTTGTTCAAAGAGACGTTCTACCCAACCCAACCTAATGTGGATTTGTCCGACACTGCAAACCAAAGGTACAGCGACCAACTTACCTTTCCCCCTATCACAGAACAGGAGATAACTCGAGCAATCGGATCCATGGCCGCCAAGAAAGCACCGGGACAGGACGGCATCCCGGCACACATACTTCAACAACTGCTCCCCTACCTGACACCTCATCTACTACAGATCTACAACGCATCCCTGGACCTACAATACTGCCCAGCGCACTTCAGACAAGCCAAGACGGTGGTGCTACCCAAGCCCAACAAGAAAGACCTGTCAGAGGTGAAATCGTACCGCCCGATAGCCTTGCTGAACACCCTTGGTAAAGCCTTGGAGTCCATCCTGGCAACAAGGATCTCTCAGGCGGTCGAAGAACACCAGCTCCTCCCACGCACGCACGTAGGGGGAAGAAAGGGAATGTCAACGGAACACGCGCTTCATGGACTGATGGAGCTGATCTATCAGTCTTGGGATAACGATCAGGTAGCCAGTCTCCTCCTGCTGGATGTAACAGGCGCCTTTGATCATGTCTCTCACCCCAGGCTTCTGCACAACCTGCGCAAGAGAAGAATGGATGAGAAGATAGTTGGGTGGGTGGCAAGCTTCCTACAAAGCAGAACAACAACTATACAGCTGCGGGAGTACACAACAGAACCTCTTCATGTGGAGACCGGGATCCCACAGGGATCTCCGATCTCTCCAGTGCTCTACCTCTTCTACAACGCTGACATCCTGGAAGACGCGCCCCTCCGGGTGACCGGAGCAGCGGCCGGAGGCTGGATCGACGACATCTACTTCTTCACCAGCAGCTGCACCACCGACGAGAACTGTAGGAAGTTAGCAAGAATGCATGGACGGGCGGAGGCATGGTCGGCCACTCACGGATCAAAATTCGACCTCAAAAAATACCAATTCATCCACCTCACGCGAAATCCAAGGAGACACGATGTACAACGGGCCTTGACCATATCGGACCTAACGATTGCTCCGACGAAAGAAGTCCGCTACCTGGGCGTCATGTTGGACCAGCAGCTTCGATGGGGCCCTCAGATACAGCACATCGAAAGCAGGACGTCGCTGACGTTAAATGCCTTGAGGTCCCTGGCAGGTTCAACGTGGGGATCAGCGCTGGCCACGCTAAGGCTGGCATACCTGGCCATAGTGGTCCCACAGATCACATATGCCTGCTCCGTGTGGCATACACCGCGCGGCGAAGTAGGACTCACAAAAAAGATGCGCACGACCCTTGACAGGATTCAACGAGAAGGGGCGAGGATCGTAGGAGGCGCATACCGAGCAGCGTCGGGCGCGGCCTTGGACGTCGAGCTCTTCATAACGCCCCTGCGTCTGCAGCTGGAGGAGCGAGCACACGACGCAGCACTGAATATCCTCACCGGCAGCCGGTTCCAGAACGAAGACGGCAACAGCACCTCAGCATGGACCCCACCGATACGCGGAGACTCCCCCGTCAGCCCCCTAACGCGCCTCTACAACAGCCTCGTGATGAAACTGGGAGAAGGAGCGGTCAGTCACCTGGAGTCGCGGATCCCATTCCCGGTAAAGCCGTGGTGGAGAGCGCCCACGGTCACTATCATGGAAGGTCGAGAAGCGGCGGAACGACTGCACACACATATTATCAGCGGAGCTGACCCACCACTGGCAGTCTACACTGACGGTAGCGACATACACGGGAAAGTGGGGGCTGCTGCATTAGCGCCGTCGATCCACACCCAAGAGCTCGCTTATCTCGGCAAGGAAACAAGCACCACCGTCTATGCAGCCGAGCTTCTTGGCATTCACATGGGCCTAAACCTAATCCTAGCGTCAGGCCGGCGCAGAGCAGCAATCTTCACGGACAACCAGGCAGCCCTAAAGGCTCTCCAAAACCCCAGAAGATCATCCGGCCAATCCATACTTCGGAGGATCATGGATACTCTAGAGAGGGTCAACTCCCAGGGCCTCCAGGTGGAATTCTACTGGATCCCGGCGCACCAAGGAATCGAAGGCAATGAATTGGCGGACAAGCTCGCAAAGGAAGCGACGGGTTGCAGACAACAACGAGGTAGACGTGGGAGGATGATCACAGTGAACACCGAGGACACAGCAGACACTCCTGATTTCTTAAGGCACCTGATATCCGCAGCCAAGTCGGAACTTCACCGCCAGACCCAGGCACAGTGGGAGCGGGACTGGGAAAACGAGTCCTCAGGGCGAGCCACCTACGCGCTCACACCAGCACCAGGTCCTACTGTCCTCCGTCTGCACCACTCCTTACACAAGGCCCTCAGCTCCACCATCGTCCAGATGCGCACCGGCAAGATTGGACTACGAGAATTCCTCTACATAAGAAAGGTGCCGGAGATCACCGACACCCTATGCGAATGCGGAAACAATCAGACAGTACGACACGTCCTCCTGGCGTGCCCTAAATTCAACAACCTCAGAGCGGAAACATGGGAAGACACCGAGGGAAGAAGGGAAAGACTGGATCTCAAGGAGATCCTGACCACGCCTAAGCTAGCTAAGAAGGCTGCAAGATTTATGATCTTAACTAGACTCCTCGGGCAATATGGAGAAATTACGGAGGACAAAATACGATAAGGCATGCACTGAGTTCTTTCGGTTTATCGGACAAACAGGAGTCAGGGGGACCCACTGGAGGACCTTGACTACCATCTAGACTGTACTATATGATGTATATTAGCTATAGATACCCATCGTCTGCATAGCTGCGGAAAGCGGCTGGGCCGGACGTTAAATTGAATAGAAGAAGAAGAAGAAGAAGAGAAGCGCCCACCGGGGAGGGTGGGCTGACTTTTAGAAGAAGTTAGCTTTTAAATCCATGGGGTATATATATCCCATCAAGCTTCGTAAACTCAATCTTGAACCTGGTTGAAAACAGCAATTTCCATCACAAATTTAATGAGAAAGAACCCATCCGAAAAAAAAATGTCACCTCCCAAAACAAAAAGGTGGGCCGTGGATGACATCATAGGTAGAGGGCTGCTTCTGCTCTGGGGCAGCTTCTGCTCTGGGGCAGCTTCTGCTCTGGGGCTGCTTCTGCTCTGGGGCTGCTTCTGCTCTGGGGCTGCTTCTGCTCTGGGGCAGCTTCTGCTCTGGGGCTGCTTCTGCTCTGGGGCTGCTTCTGCTCTGGGGCTGCTTCTGTGCTTGATTGATTGATTGATTTATTCATAGACTGTCCCAGCCGCCCTCAGGCAGCATGCAGCGTACTACTATCAGGAGTTTCTGCTCTTTTCCTTGGAACTCAGTTATTCTTGGTAGAAACTCCCAGTTGGTACCCGGTTATTTCTGCTAGAATTACTTCTTTTCCGCCTGAGCTTCTTCTATCTATAGTCTTCCCATCAGTTCTTATCTCTGCCTTGTTAGGTCTTTCCTGACCCTTCTCGACTTCTGACTACTGGGGTTACACTCATATGCTAGTTATATTGAAGTACCTTGGA